CCCTGCGCTCAGCTCATGCAGCTTCCCCGCGCGACCCCTCCTCCTCGCTTTGCCTCTGACGCGGTGGGTGTTCCAGCTGCGGCGGTGTACGTGCGTGGCGTCGCGGGCCCAGGCCCCCCTGCCTGGGCTCAAAGCAAGAACGCACGCTCGTTGGTGACTCGGCCTCCTCCGTGCCCAATACCTCCTCTGCTTCGCTTAACTCGCTGCCCCCATCACCATCATCTCCTCTATCAAGTACTCCTGAGATAACGAGTTTGCGATTGGGACTTACGGGCTTCGGGGGACTCAATGGGACAGGTTCTCCGCTGGGATCCCCCCTCGGAAAATCCCCTGGATTCGTGACTTCCCCCCCTATTCCCTTGTTCCCTGTTCGCCGCGTTCGTGCATGCACTTCGATGTCGAACTGGAAGTCCCTCCGCTCTCGCGCAACACCGTTCTTTGACCAGTTGCCATATACTCCATGCAACTGCATGGTCACCCCACTTCGCCCCGCCCCAACACAATCTCATTCCCGGCCTCTACCACTTCGCGAGCTGACCTCAACACCTCTGTAATATCAGCCACCTGGACGGGTTTGCTCACTCGAGCTCCCTGTTCGTTATTTCCAACGTTCACTCTGTGGCGCGAATTATCCCTCGTAGCCGCGCCGTTAGCTGCGCCGCACTTCGTGCCCGCTCGCGACGCCTCCGCGGGAGCAACTGCAAAATGGCTCACCTAGGTGGCCCGACAATGTTGTAGGCGCCTGAATCAAAGGTAACCACCGCCATTTCGCGAGACCCAATGGCCTCACCGTTAGGGGGCCGCGTTGGCTTCAGGACTGGCTCCAAGTGCCTCCACAAGCTACATTTCGGAATACTTCCGCTGCCAGCTTCTCTCTGCCTGAAGGCCCCTTTGGATGATCGCCTGGGGGTTGGAGCTGCGGGGACACCCAAGGCAACAGCAGGCCTGATTTCGTGCCACAGCAAATTTCTTCATCCAGTGGTTCCTTTTCCTCTCTCGGTATTGCTGCGTCACTCATCTAACCCAGGCGGGCCAGTGGATCCACCCCGTAACATCCTCATAACCCCAATCGGCGTCGTTAGACCACCGGTAACCATCATCATCCGCGTTCGAGCCCTCATGGGGGTCCCAAATGCTCCCCTGAACGTCGCTGCCCCCGCTAACCCTCCGATGTCCATTGCACCCCGATTATTCGCGTCGGGTCTTTTCTTACGCGCCCAGCCATCGCACTTAAAGTATAGATTGTCACAGTTTTCTGCCGCGAACGAATCGGGCGTTTTGAAGCATTCCCGGTGCGACCCTTCAAACAAGTCCCCCACATGTGGCAGAATGGTCCTCAGAACACGTATGCGGAACGGGAGGTCTAACGAGCATGCGGGGCCATACTTCTCCAGCGTTTCTACCAGCGCCGTCCATTGCGCATGCGGGGCCATACTGCTCCAGCGATTCTAACAGCGCCGTCCACTGCTTTATGGAGCGCGTTTCTTTATGTTCGGCGATGACGGGCGTCATGGGGGGGGGGGGGGGAAAGGCGGAGGGGGGTATGACGTGACGCCCCCCCCCCCGCCGTGTGGCTCCGGCACCACAGCCGCGCCCGCGCGCACGACGCGACGAGCGACGAGCGACGAGCGACGACGACGACGCGAGCAGCATGTAAGTGGCGATCTGCCCATTGCGCCTGTGTACACCACAACGCTCGCGTGCACCACACCGCGCGTGTGCACCACAGCGCCTACGTACACCGCAACAGCCGCGTGCAACGCACCGCCCGCGTATACCACAATAATTGGGAGCACTACAGCGCAGGTGTACATACACCGCAGCAGCCATGTGCAACACAACGCCTGTGTACACCACTGTGCTTGCGTGCACCGCAGCGCCCGTGCACGCCACAGCGCCTGTCTAAACCACGGCATCCGCGTGCAACGCAGCGGTGGTGTACACCACACTGCCTGCGTGCACAGGACAGGTAGAAGGAGCATGTACGTCAGGATCTGCTGCGGACAACTAAACGCCACGCAGGAAAGTTCTGATAATCGAATGCGACGTTTTTCCCTCTTCCCTCCTCCTCCTCCTCCTCCACCTCCTCCTCCTCCGCCTCCATTCTTCCTTCTTCTTCCTCCTCCTCCTCCTCCTCCTCCTCCTCCTCCTCCTCCTCCTCTCTCCTCCTCCCCTCTTCCTCCTCCTCCTCCTCCTCCTCCTCCTCCTCCTCCTCCTCCTCCTCCTTTTCCTCCTTCTTACCCCCTGTCGCGCGGTTTGGCGTTACAACGCACGTGCGCATCTCAGCGTGCACGGCAAAATGGTCGATTGAATCGGTCCACTTGGTTCTCGGACGGCCAATTTAGCTGGAGCATCCTGGACGCAAATGGGAGTTAGGGTGATGCGGGCGGACTCGGGGGGACTGGTAGATTCCAGCGGCGCTCCACACGGCTGATGTGGTGCACACAGGCGCCGTGGCGTACACAGGCACTGCAATGCACGCAGGCATTGTGGTGTACACTGGTGCTGTGTTGCGCACGGCTTATGTGGTGTACGGAGGCGCTGCGGTGTACATAGGAGTTGCTGTGCCCGCAGGCACGGTGGCACAAACTGACGCTGTGTTGCACGCGGCTGCTGTGGTATATATCGGCGGCGTGGTGTACACAGGCTGTGTGCTGCACGCGGGCACTGTGATGTACACAAGCGTTGTGATGCATATCGCCACCTACATGTTCGTGCTACCCGTCCTCCGTCATTCCTAGGCATTCCCAGACGCCGCCGGCGCGAAACGTGACGTCATCGACCCCCTCCCCCCTCAAATGATTGCCGTCATCGGCCCGGACTGACAAACAGGTTCCAGCCGCGTCCGCGCGCACGACGACGATGAGCGACGAGCGACGAACCACGAGCGACGACGACGGACGACGACGACGACGACGACGACGACGACGACGACGACGACGACGACGCCTGCGGACCAGACACCTATGCGGATTCCTACGCGGACACCTACGCGGATCCCAATGCGCACGGCGGCAGTGCCCTGAGCGCACTGGGGGGGGAGCGTTACGTCATAGGGGGAGGGGGGGGGGCGAGCGGGGGCCATGACGCCCGTCATGCCCCAAGCAATAAAGAAACGGGTTCATGTGGCTTGTCCGGATCCACAGCCAAGCTCACATTGGCTGACAGAGTCACCTCCGCAACCGCAAAGATACACTTGTAAATGCTTTGGTATGCTGGTAACCCATCCCACTTATTCTCTGGGCCCCTTTAACTTTCTTCTGGGTTCCACTCCTTCCACTTTGTCATTCAGGAGATGTACCACATGTCCTTGTCGAACTTGTACACCAATTCTTCGGCTATGTCAAGTGACCATTTGTCGTCATCCTCATCATCATCATCATCATCATCATCATCATCATCATCATCATCATGTTGTTTCACTCGGCTGGCTTTCGCTTGTTCTGATGTTGTTTCCCTACCGTTAAGGATCCTGAGCATATCGTCGTCGTCTTGATCCTGGAACTTGCCGTCCATAGTAACCAACTTGACAACTTGTCGCCCAAATTATTCAGAACCCCGTGGCACTGTGGGCTCGGTTGTACCAACGCGTTCAAGAATGTTTCGCTCCGCTCGCGGACTTCAGCTCGGTCACAGGCGAAAGTGTTGAGCTGCGGCGTGGCTTTACATTCACTAACCAACTTGTTATGTCCTCCCGATGTGACTTTCCCCTCTGCTATGTATTAGGCAATGCTCGTGACCAGTTCCATCGTGTTCTTCTGTACCATCGTGCTTGGTCCTCGAGATCCTCAATCCTGAAATGAAGTGTATGTGCATCCCCTTCTGAGTACATGTTGCGGCTCACGACGCTGAGGAGCAAGGAGCCTATGTTTTATGCCATTTGTAAGAGTCCGTGTTCCTCCTCGGTAGCGAGGGTCTTTACTCCAGCTGCAGTCTGTCTCTCAACGAACTCTTTTTATCTCTTCATGGTTAGCTCTAAGTGCCGCTTTTACATAACTGGAATCACCCCCGTAGTACGCGGCATCACATAGTTCACTCAACCTCGCTGGGTTTACATTAAACCAGTGGTCTCGGTACTGAGGCGTGTTTAACTTTGGGAGTGAGTCTCCAAGATGAGCGGGGGCTGCTGACGCTGCTGCGGCTGCCATTAACCTCGCTCCGCAACCATGCAAATTCTTGACAAGGAATTGCACGGGAACGATGGACAGCGGTATGTTTCAACAGCAGGCCACAAGAAATAATCATATCTGAGATTCTTGCTCAAAATACTAGCGGTAACGCTAACACCTGATTGCGAGACGAGTGGATACTCTCCCCACCCAGTCGCAAGGCCATGTTCTAATACCTCATCCTCCTCCTTCTCCTCCTCCTCCACGTCCTCCTCCTCCTCCTCCTCCTCCTTCTCCTCATCCTCCTCTCTCTCTGTTCCCGTCTTCCCCTACATGCGTATCATCATCATCATCATCATCATCATCATCATCATCATCATCATCATCATCATCATCATCATCATCATCATCATCATCATCATCATCGTCATCGTCATCATCTCATCATCATCATCATCAGCAGCAGCATCATCATCATCATCACCATCATCATCATCACCACCACCATCATCATCATCATCATCATCATCATCATCATCATCATCATCATCATTATCAGCATCAGCATCAGCATCAGCATCATCATCATCATCATCATCATCACCATCACCATCGTCATCATCATCTCTCATCCCTCATCCCTCACCCCTCATCCCTCATCCCTCATCCCTCATCCCTCATTCTCCTCCTCAAAATCATCAGCATCATCATCTCCATCATCATCGTCATCATCATCACCATCATCATCGTCATCATCATCATCACCATCAGCAGCAGCATCATCACCATCATCGTCCCAGCATCATCCTCATCATCAGCAGCAGCATCTGCTTGAGAAAGTGCCACCTCTGGTCCCCGTCGGCGCACCCCTGCCTCGCGCCCCCACGGCGCCTGGCGAAGCTGCTGGCACGAGGGCGACATTCCCGCCGGCGTGGGTGGCTGCTTCCACGCCCCGGATACCCCGAAGGAGTCGACGACGAAGTCATAGTCGTCCTCATCGCCTCTTCGCCACGAGGGTTCCTCCGTCGCCCGGCAGCCCGCGAGTGGCGACAGAGTCGCCGCTTTCGCCGTCGCCGCCGCCGCCGCCGCCGCGGCCGCCGTCGTGGCGGCCTCTCCCCGCGAGGTGGCCGAGGCCAGCCGCCAGAGAGGGGCCCCTGCTCACCGCCATCGGGGGGCCGGAGCCCGCGACATCGGGGAGCTGTGGGCGTGGACGTTCTCTGGCTCCTGCGCCGGCCACACGCGTAAGAGCGACCCACCAGTGGATGGGGCATGTACCGGGGGGGGGGGAGTCACCGACCTTCTGGCGGAGCTTGCCCGTCCCCCCCCGCCCCTCCCCCGCCTCTCCTCCTCCTCCTCCTCCTCCTCCTCCTCCTCCTCCTCCTCCTCCTCCTCCTCCTCCTCCTCCTCCTCCTCCTCCTCCTCCTCCATTCCGTCTCCTTATAGATAACTCCTCCCTGTCGCACCCCGAGGCCAGATTTTTGGGGCAGGCCGGGCGTTTCGCCTGATACTTCCTCACCATCTATGACTCTGAAGCTTAAAGTGACAGCAGCTTCACAGATGGAGGGCGGGTCGTATTCAAAATGTTGATCTCGTCTGGGCGCCGCGCACATTCATTTTGCAAGAGCTTCACAGCTTGAGGGCGGGTCGTTCTCAAAATGTTGCTCTCGCCCTAGCGCCGCGCACATTCGTTTCAAGCATTTGCAAGAGCTTCACGGATTTAGGGCGTGTCGTTTTCAAAATGTGGCTCTCGCCCTAGCGCCGCGCATATTCGTTCAAAATCTGCAAGAGCTTCACGGAGTGATGGCGGGTCGTTTTCAAAATGTTGGCGCCGGTCGTTTTTTCAACCAATCGTTTTTCGCCATCATCATCATCATCATCATCATCATCATCAGCATCATCTTCATCATCATCATCATCATCATCATCAGCATCATCATCATCATCATCATCATCATCACCATCATCATCATCAGCACCACCCGTTTCAGCATACTCCTCACACGCTTCGTGGCCCCATAGGGAGCCCCACCGAAGGTCCCAGTGCTACCGTCCGCATGCGTCTCCCCCACCCAGTACAGCGATCCGTGGCCCCATAGGGAGCCCCATCGAAGGTCCCAGATCTACCGTCCGCATGCGTCCCCCCCACCCAGTACAGCGCTGCGTGGCCCCATAGGGAGCCCCACCGAAGGTCCCAGTGCTACCGTCCGCATGCGTCCACCCCCACCCACTACAGCGCTTCGTGGCCCCATAGGGAGCCCCACCGAAGGTCCCAGTGCTACCGTCTGCATGCGTCCCCCCCACCCAGTACAGCGCTTCGTGGCCCCATAGGGAGCCCCACCGAAGGTCCCAGTGCTACCGTCCGCATGCGTCCCCCCACCCAGTACAGCGCTTCGTGGCCCCATAGGGAGCTCCACCGAAGGTCCCAGTGCTACCGTCTGCATGCGTCCCCCCCCACCCAGTACAGCGCTTCGTGGCCCCCCATAGGGAGCCCCACCGAAGGTCCCAGGCTACCGTCCGCATGCGTCCCCCCCACCCAGTACAGCGTTTCGTGGCCCCATAGGGAGCCCCACCGAAGGTCCCAGTGCTACCGTCCGCATGCGTCCCCCACCCACTACAGCGTTCCGTGCCCCCATAGGGAGCCCACCGAAGGGTCCCAGTTGCTACCGTCCGCATGGCCCCCCCCACCCAGTACAGCGCTTTCGTGGCCCCATAGGGAGCCCCACCGAAGGTCCCAGTGCTACCGTCCGCATGCGTCCCCCCACCCAACCAGTACAGCCTGCTGTGGCCCCATAGGGAGCCCCACCGATGGCCCAACCGAAGGTCCCAGTGCTACCGTGCGCATGCGTCCCCCCCCCCCAGTACAGCGCTTCGTGGCCCCATAGGGAGCCCCACCGAAGGTCCCAGTGCTACCGTCCGCATGCGTCCCCCCACCCAGAACAGCGCTTCGTGGCCCCATAGGGAGCCCCACCGAAGGTCCCAGTGCTACCGTCCGCATGCGTCCCCCCCACCCAGTACAGCGCTTCGTGGCCCTGCAGGGAGCCCCGCCGAAGGTCCAGTGTTACCGTTCGCATGCGTCCCCCACACCCAGTACAGTTCGTGGCCTCATAGGGAGGCCCACCGAAGGTCCCAGTGCTACCGTCGCTTCGTGGCCCCATAAAGAGCCCCACCGAAGCCCCTGGGACTGTCCTGCGTCCTGGAAATCTAATTTGGCAGCGTCACCCCACCCAGTATGGCGCTTCGTGGCCCCATAGAGCCCCACAGAAGCCCCCACTGGGACTGTCCGCATGCGTCCCTGAAACACAATTTTGGTATCTTCACACCACCCACTACGGCGTTTCGTGACCCCGTAGAGAGCCAGCTCCACCGAAGCCCCCAGTGGGACCGTCCGCATGCGTCTCGGAAACCCAATTTGGCATTTTCACCCACCCAGTACAACGCTTCGTGGCCCCATGGGGAGCTCCGCCGAATTTTCTCCCCACCCAGTACGGCGTTTCGTGGCCCCGTAAGGAATTCGCCCGACGGCCCCAGTTCTAAGCCCGCATGCGTTCCCCACCGCCCAGTGCAGCGCTTCGTGGCCCCATAGGGAGCTCCACCGCAGCCCCCAGTGGGACCGTCCGCATGCGTCCTGGAAACAAAATGTGGCACACCCCTCATACGTTTCGTGGCCCCAAGCCACCAGTGGGACCGTCCGCATGCGTCCCGGAAACCAAATTTGGCATTTTCACCCCACCCGGTACAGCGCTTCGTGGCCCCATAGGGAGTTCGCCCGACGGCCCCAGTTCTACCGCCCGCATGCGGTCCCCACCACCCAGTGCAGCGCTTCGTGGCCCCATAGGGAGCTCCACCGAAGAAATATTCACAATTGCGGTACCCACAACTGCATATGGTTGGGTCCGTCGCCAGGATAATACATGTCACGGATGGAGGGCGGGTCGTTTTCAAAATGTGGCTCTCGCCTTAGCGCCGCGCACATTCCTGTCCAAAACTTGCAAAAGTTTCACGGATTGATGGCGATTCGTTTTCAAAATGTGGCTCTCGCCTGAGCGCCGCACAAATTCCTTTCCAACATTTGCAAAACTTTCACGGATTCCCATGATCAACGTACCAGAAACGTTGTTTGGGTTCGATTCAAGATTTTGCGGGCGCAACAGTCATGTTGATTCGCTGTGTTGAAATCCAAAAACGGCGTTCTGGCACGATTCTGGATCGTCAAAACGCAGCAGTCAGAATGATACGTGGCGTTGAAAACCCAGGAACAATGTTTTGGCACGCTTCCGGGTCTTCGAACTGTTGTCTTCCAACGAGGCAGTTCCCTCAATGGAAATCAACCGTTGTAGGGGCCTCTGAAGATGGAGCTTGGAAGGAGGGGTAATTCCAACATCGTTGATGACTCTTGGGTTTCCACTGGTCCTACTCCTCCTTCTCCTCATCCTGCTCCTGCTCCTCCTCCTGCTCCTCCTCCTCCTCCTTCTCCTCCTCCTCCTCCTGTTCCTCCTCCTCCTCCTCCGCCTCTTCCCCCTCCTCCTCCTCCTCCTCGACCTCCTCCCTGCCTTGTCCTTCTGACTAACTCCTCCCTGTCGCACCGCACCCCGAGGCCAGTCAGAAGGGTGGGCCAGGCGCTTTGCCTGAGACTTCCTTACCAGTTATGCGCCCTTACCAACTGGCGACAGTTTCACAGATGGAGGACGGGGCGCTTCGAAAATGTTGCTCTCGCCTTAGCGCCGCGCACATTAGTTTCAACAAATTGCCAGAGCTTCACGGATGGAGGGCGGGTCGTTTTCAACAATCGGCTTTCGCCTTAACGCCGCGCACATTCGTTTGAAACCGTCGCAAAAACTTCACGGATTGAGGGCGGCTCCTCTTCAAAATGTGGCTCTCGCCTTGGCGCCGCGTACATTCGTTTTTACAAACTTGCAGAAGCTTCGTGGATTGAGGGCGGGTCATCTTCAAAATGTGGCTCTCGCCTTAGCACCGCGCACATTCCTATTCACAATATGGAAAGAGCTTCACGGATTGAGGACGGCTCCTTTTCAAAATGTGGCTCTCGCCTTTAACGCCGCGCACATTCGTTTCACACATTTACAAGAGCTTCATTGGTGTTCCTGGCTAACGTACAAGAAATGATGTTTTGGAGCGATTCCGGACTGCCAGGGCGCAACAGTTACATTGATTCGCGGAGTTGAAGTCCCAGGAATGGTGTTCTGGCACGGTTCAAAACCGTCACTTGACACGTAACGTTGAAACCCTGAGGAAGGTATCTTGGCAGGCCTCAGGATTTTCACACGGTTGTCCCCCAACGGGGCACTTCCCTCAGTGGAAAGGAATCCTTGTAGGGACCTATGCAGCGGGAGCTTGTAGGGAGGGTGTTCTCCAACATGGTTGATGACTCTTGGGTTTACACTGGTCCTCCTCCTCCTCTTCCTCCTCCGACTCCGACTCCGACTCCGACTCCGACTCCGACTCCGACTCCGACTCCGACTCCGACTCCGACTCCGACTCCTCCGACTCCCCCGACTCCCACCCTCCAACCGTTCCGACAGCACGTGCCCACCCCACCCCCCGTGGACCCAAGGGGGCGGCGACAATTTGTCTCATCCTCAACAAGCAAAGTCCCATCCACAATAAGCAAGAATGACCTTTGGTGCGCGGTGTTGAGGGGGCCGCGAGGGGGCGGGAAACCCGCGCAGACAGCTACTGTCGCACCGCATCCAGCGATGTGGGCAGCCCAGCGGGTCCGCACCAGAGGTCGCTCCGGCGAAGGTTCACCCTTTACGTTGCGAGGCGGGGATTTATCCATATCCACCGCCTGGGAACCGACGTCCTGATGCCCCAGCGGGCGGTGGATATGGATATATTTTGGCCCCCGGGGGCCCGAATATGTCCATATCCACCGCCTGCCGAGGTCCCCGAAAACTGATCCTCCAGGCGGTGGTCATATATGAATTCCCGCCCCGGATACGTGCAAATCCACTGAGGCGCCGCGCGATACTTTGTTCGGGGGGGTGGGCGCTCGACAGGCGCTGGCCGGTCGCAAACCCGTGGGTGCGCACGCGATAGCACCGAACCACTGGCAACTGAGAGCCACTGCCCCGACAATCGGCGATGGCCGTGGACTCGGGCAGGACCTGAAGTCAGTGGGGCGGAAATTCGGGTGGCTGAAACGAAAGGTAGAGGCCGCACAAACGGGTCCTCCTCCTCCTCCTCCTCCTCCTCCTCGCTTCGCCGATGCGGAGAGGGCCGTTCGGGGCTCAAGAGACGGGGGTCAGTGCTAACGGGGGTCAGTCAGAGCGCCAGATCTTGCAGGATCCCGTAGAGCCAGGGTTGCATTGACCTGGGCTCGGGTGCAGGAGCCCGCAAAATCCGGCAGGATCTCGCAGGATCCTGCAAAGCCTGACTGACCCAGGTCTGGATTGACACGGGCCAATAGATCCCGGAGCCATCCTCGTTTCGCTTCCTCCGGCTGCCGACGACCGCGGCTGCGGAGGTATCCAGAAGTCCCTGGAGACACGCGGGGTCTCCAGAGGCCCCCAGAGGCCTCCCTTCTAAGGCCCCCGACGTCCCCAAGGGCCCCCCGGAAGACCCCCAAAGCGCCAAAAAGAACCCCAAAAAACCTCGGTCCTCGATCCTCCTCGATCCTCCTCCTCGGTCGCCGCCGCCCTCGACGCTGGCGAGCCGCCGCCGCCGCCGCCGCACATACCATAGGATGTCTCGGTGCGCGCGTCGCCCCTGGGGGGGCGACGCACACATAGTATTGGTACGTTAGGGTGACGCCGATCAAAGGAGCGACGAAAAGAAGCGGGTCTTACGCGAGATGGCACAGCGACCTTACGCGGTGACTTACGCGGACCGCCAGCACAACACGCTACATTGGAAACGAGGGCGCCTACGCGCGACCTTACGCGGGCAGCTTACACGCCGATGTCTGTGAAGACGAGCCCGTTTTGCTGCGTCGCCCCACATGTCTGGACCCCTTCCCCGGGGGCAGTTTTGCGCCCCGGGCCCATCTCCCCAAGTCTCCGACGATCTGATGTTTTCAGTCCTGGCGCGTTCCGTCGACTTCGGTTTCCAGGGAGAGGTACCGCGACCAAGGACCATCAAAAATGAATCCGGGGCGAAAAAACTATCCCCAAGGAAGCGTCGGTACATCTGGGGCCGCGGGCGACGCGGATTGCGACATCATTGAAAATCACGACCAGAGACCCAGATCCCATCGTTCTGCGCCATTCTTCGAGCTGGATCGATCTGCGAGGGTCCTGGGGCCCGAAACTGGACGAAAGCGCCCGGTGTGACAAAATTGCAACGCCCGACCCGCCCCAGTAGGGTCCGCCCACCCAGCGGGTCCGCCCGCCCGACCCTAACGGGTCCGCCTGCCCATCCTCCCGTTTCTCTTTCCTCCCCCTTATGCAGAACCTTTTTCGTCCTCAATTGGGACGCACAGAGACATACTAATACTATATGTCCTCCTTGGAGGCGCGCGTCCGACCCGAACATATAGCAGACCCATCTTGTAGTACATCGTTTCCCAAGCAGCGTGGCCAGAAAGCGCCCACCACGACCCGTATACTACAAGAAGTTTCGGTGCGCGCGTCTCCCCTGGGGGGGCGACGCACACACACACACACAGTATTAGAATGTTGAGGTAACGCCGATCAATCCTCATACAGTCGGTAACTTTTGCCTAGCGTGTCGCGGCGGCGGTCCCAGCGACACCCTGTGCCTTGCGAGCGCAGAGGGCGCCGCTACGCTCCGCGGGGCGGGAGGCTATGAAAAAGATAAGAGACGCGAGACGCTGACGCCTGGGAAGGGGCACCTGGATAGAAAGTCGCGCCGAAGCGCAGTGGGCCAGAACCGGCGCAGCGACACGCCAAGTCCAAGTTCCGTACCTGAAAGGGAAAACAAAAGGGAAAGAAAAAACAACAGAAAAAACTGCATTAGCATCAACTTTTGGCGCTCCGCGCGGATGTCTTGGATCGGCGTTGGGCCCCCCGCCCTGGCGTGCAGAGCGCGCCAGGGGCGGCGCCAGAGGCCCTCTCCCTCCCTTCCCGTTTCCTCGGCTTCCTCCTCCCTTCGCCCCGGGCGCGGCGGCCGCGGCGCCACCACTGCCGCTGCCCTCCCCCCCCCCCTCCCCGGCGTCCTCTGGGGCGGTGGCCGCCCGGCCCCAGCCCGCGCGCCCGTCGCCGGCGGCGACCGACTCCTGGGGGGGGCGCGGGCGGGCGGGCGGTGCCAGCGGGGGCTCATCCCTGGGGGCCCAATGGGAACGACTCCTCCTCCTCCTCCTCCTCCTCCTCCTCCTCCTCCTCCTCCCCCTCCCCCTCCTCCTCCTCCTCCTCCTCCTCCTCCTTCCCCTCCTCCTCCTCCTCCCCCTCCTCCTCCTCCGCAAAGAAGACGAAGAAGAAGAAGAAGAAGAAGAGGAAGAAGAAGCGGGGGTTACCCGAGATGGCACAGCAACCTTACGCGGTGGCCTCCGCGGGCCGCCAGCGCGGCACGCTGCATCGGAGACGAGGGCGCTTGACTTCTGCGCCAGCTTGCGCAGGCAGCTTGCGCGCGAACGTCGGCGCAGTCGGACCTGTGTCCCTGCGTCGTCATGTGATGCCAGACGTGCTTCCAAACTTCCCTGAGATCCGACGTCTCGATACCTATACGACCACCCTTCGGGTGATAAGGAAGTTCGGGGGGGGGAAGGAACCAACGTCTCACTCGATCGGTCTCACGATCGATCTCACGATCGATCTCACTATATCGGTCTCGCTCGATCGATCTCACTCGATCGATCTCACAATCGATCTGACTATCGATCTATTTCATTCGATCGATCTCACAATCGATCTCGCGATCGATCTCACTATCGATCTCACAATATATCTCACATCCGGTCTCACTATCGATCTCACTATCGGTATCACAAGCGATCTCACAATCAACGTCATCATCATCATCACCATCATCATCATCATCATCATCATCATCATCATCATCAACATCATCATCATCATCATCATCATCATCATCATCATCAACGTCATCAACATCATCATCAGCAGCATCATTGGGACACCATCATCAATATCACCTCGTCACCATCATCACAACATCATCATAAACAGCATCATCACAGGGACACCATCATCGTCACCATCATCATCAACATCATCATCCTCGGGACACCGTCATCATCAGCGGAACACCACCATCATCACTATCATTTCATCATCCGCATGAACAACATCATCAACATCATCATCTCGAGGCACCATCATCATCATCAGCAAGATCATCATCATCATCAACATCATCATGATCGGGACTCCATCGTCATCGTCACCATCATCATCATCACCATCATCATCATCAGGACACCATCATCATCAACATCAGCATCATCATCATCGGGCCACCATCATCAAAATCATCATCATCACCTCATCATCGTCCTCATCGTCACCACCATCATCATCATCAACAGCATCGTCATCATCATCATCATCATCATCATCATCATCATCATCATCATCATCATCGGGACACCATCATCCTCATCAGCATCATCAACGTCATCATCACCGGGACACCATCATCAGCATCACCATAATCATCATCAACAGCATCATCATCAACTTCATCACCATCATCGGAACACCCTCATCATCATCTTCATCATCATCTCATCACCTCATCATCATCAAAATCACCAGCATCATCAACAGCATCATCATCGGGACACAACCATCATCATCATCAGCAACATCAACATGATCAGCATCATCATCATCATCGGGACACCATCATCATCACCATCATCGCAGTCATTATCAGCAGCATCGTCATCATCATCATCATCATCATCTTCATCATCATCCATCACCACCACCACCACCATCATCATCATCATCATCAGCATCATCAGCATCATCATCATCGTCATCATCATCATCATCATCATCATCATCATCATCACCATCGGGACACCTACGGGACACCAGCGGGAGACCGGCGGGACACCGCGCGGCACCGGCCCTCGGAAAGGAAACATTTGGTCTGGCCGCGCCTCAGCCCGAGGCGGGACACCGGCGGGACACCGCGCGGCACCGGCCCCCGGAGAGGAATCATTTGGTCTGGCCGCGCCTCAGCCGGAGGAGACTTTCTTCTCGCCCGCCCACGCAGCTTCGCCTCGCCCGCACGCACGGCACGCACGAACACGAAACCGAAACCGATTTCCCGGTACGGGGGCTCTCCGTTCCACTTCGATCTCACCCCCTCACCTCCGATACACTTGCAACATTCCTCCTCCAGAAAAAAAGGAATAAACCAACAGAGCCTCACGCAGCCCGTCTTTCTGCGTCACTTTTCCAGCTGGGTGGATATGTGAGGGCCCGGGGGGCCGAAACCTGTCGCACACGCTGGTTGTGAAAAAATTGCAGCGCCAGGATATCAGGGTTCGACCGGATCGAGCTGTTCAATCCTGGCGCTCTTCCCTGATCCCGGCCTCAGGCAACGCTCGGGCCCCTGGACCGGGCGCAAAACTGGATCCAGGCAAGGGGTCGGGGCCTCTGGGGCCTGTGTATCGGGGAGGCGTGAGGCCGCTGCCTTTGACCCAGGCATCCTCGCGTCGTGGGCAAATGACGGGGCCCAGGGACACACCAAAAGAACTATACACACAAATCCCAGGATTCCCCATATTTTCCCACATGTTCCCCTCCACTTCCAAGGATTTCATCTTCCCCTCCGCTTCCAAGTCTTCCCATATTTTCCTTGGCATCGACGATGACGTGTGTTTGTGCTTATATTTTCCCTCCCGAACAAATTACGGCGGAGTGCTTCGGACAATTTGCGGCATCCGGGGGCCCTCGCCAGGACGCGGGACCGTCCAAGCACGACGCGGTACGAAGGGCCGGTCCCTGTGAAGGGGTCGAGGCCTCTGGGGAGCCACGTTGCGAAGAAAATCACGACGCTGGGTGTCTGGCAGGAGTGCCAAGAATCGAATCGATAAGTCGGATCGGCGGTCGAAATGAATCGGATCGGCGGAAATCGGCAGCCGAGTCGGCCGCGGAAATCGGCAGGCTAACATGCGTCCAATAAGGAATCGGAACCCAAATCGGAATCCGAAGTCGAATCGAATCGGAATCGGAAGCCATCGAAATCGAATCGATTCGAATCGGAGGAATCGAAACGAGCCCTGTCTGGGGATGCGGCTCGAGCGGGCGGCGCCGTCGCACGTCAGCGCAGCAGGCCCTCGCACACCGCCAGAGCTCAGCTACAAAAGCACGGCAGCAGGCCCCGGCCGGCGTGACTAAGCAAGGGCGCAGGGCGTGATGCGTGTATCACATCAGTCCTCATCCAAATCGTCGCCCCTCTTGCTTCAGGTCGGCATGTCCTCCTACAGGGGGATTCTGGAGGAAAACAAAAGTCCGAAAATATTCAAACATACTGGAAAAATCGTCCCAAGAGGGTGGACGAAAACGATTAGATTGTCCATACATAATCCAAATAATGGAAAACCGTCCCAGAACTATATTTTGACTGTTTGAATAATCCTGATGTAGAGGGACATGCCCGACTTCACTCTTGCTGGCTCCGCATCCTTGCACACCCCCGAGCGCCCTCGGATTCCTCTCAGCTCATCGCGCGTGCCAGCCAGCCGAAGACCTCGAGTTCGAGGAACTCGAACTTCCCCGTATGGGCCGCCCTGCGAGCCAGCCAGGGCACACGGTGTGCATCTAGGAGCATCCAGGAGACCAGGCCTTCGGGCGTCGGAGTGCAGGAGGAGGAGGAGGAGGAGGAGCAGGAGCAGGAGCAGGAGGCGGAGGAGGAGGAGGAGGAGGAGCAGGAGGAGAGGAGGAGGGAGGAGGAGGAGGAGGGGGAGGCGGGGAGGGGGGGAGGAGGGCACACGGTGTGCATCTAGGAGCATCGGGAGACCATGAGGCCTTCGGGCGTCGGAGTGCAGAAGTGAGGAGGAGGAGGAGAGGAGCAGGAGCAGGATAGGAGGCGGAGGAGGAGAGGAGGAAGGAGAGGAGAGAGGAGCAGGAGGAGGAGCAGGAGGAGGAGGAGGTAGGAGGAGGAGGCGGAGGAGGAGGAGAGGAGTAGGAGGAGGAGGGGGGGGGGATACAAGACGGGCACACGGTGTGCAACTATGTATTATAGGAGCATCCGGGAGACTAGGCCTTCGGCGTCGTCGGAGTGCAGGAGGAGGAGGAGAGATCAGGGAGCAGAGCGACAGGAAGGCGAGAGGAGAGGAGGATGAGGAGCAGGAGGAGGAGGAGGAGGAGGAGGACGGGGCCGTCGGAAATCCAGCAGGACCTGCTCTGGAATGTGGCGCGACCTCCCGCCGCAAGCATCGCACGAAACCGGGGCCGCGCGCCAACGAGGCGCCCACGGGCGGCGATCAGGCGAGAAACTAGTACGCCCTTTTCCTCCTCCTCCTCCTCCTCCTCACCCTCCTCCTCCTCGCTCCTCCTCCCTCCCACCTCCTCCTCATCCTCCTCCTCCTACCGTTTCCTCCCCCCTCTCACCCCTCATGCCCCTACCCCCCTCCTCCTCCTCCTCCTCCTCCTCGCTCCTCCTCCTACCTCCTCCTCCTCCTCCTCCTCCTCCACTCCTCCTCCTCCTCCTCCTCCTCCTCCCTCCTCCCCTCCTCCTTCCTCCTCCTCCTTTGTCCTCCCCTCATCCCCCGTTACCCCTCCCCCTCACTCTCCTCCTCTCCTCCACTCCTCCTCCTCCTCCTCCTCCTCCTCCTCCTCCCTACCTCCGCCTCCTCCTCCTCCTCCCCGCCATCCTCATCCTCCTCCCCCCCTCCCCCTCCCCCTCCTCCTCTCCTGTCCTCCTCCTCCTCCTCCTCCTCCTCCTCCTCCTGATTACCACCATCACCATCACCATCATAATTATCATTATCATCATCATCACCACCACCACCACCATTATCATCATCATCATCATCATCATCATCATCATCATCATCATCATCATCATCATCATCATCATCATCAGCAGCATCATCATCATCATCATCAGCAGCAGCAGCAGCAGCATCATCAGCATCATCATCATCATCAGCAGCATCGTCATCATCATCATCATCATCATCATCATCATCATCATCATCATCATCATCATCATCATCATCATCATCATCATCATCATCATCGTCATCGTCATCATCATCATCGCCATCAGCATCAGCATCATCAGCATCAGCATCAG